CTATGCGAGTTTTTTAAAATTTTTTTAAACAGTACCTGTTTCCTTTGAAAAAAAAAAAAGGCAAAGAACCCCCCCCAAAATCACAACCCCTCTCACTTTGATTACACTAATTCATAAGTTATTACCTCTCCATCTAAAAAACACAAAAAGAACAAAATCTAATCCCAACCAAGCCCTCAGCAACCCCTAAAACAAGCAGTATAATATATTTTGAACTACGCAGCCATAAATGAACAATGCTTTCTCAAGGCTAAAACAGAGTCAACCATTGTAGATGAAGTCTCTGGTTAATAACAATAAGCAATTAGCACCCACAATCCAGGTGTTTGATTAAAAGTATTAACCAGGACTCTCCTTAACCAGAGTACGTTACTCCTTGACCTCCAGCTCAGACTCCTCCCTGCAACTCAACCAACATCTCTGCTGACAGCAGACTTACAGCACACGTAAGTCTTCCTGGATATGCTTTTCCAATTAGTTGTAAGAAGTTATTCCACGACATGTACTTCAGCCTGTGAAAGCAACTACCAACTTCAAACCAACATGACTGTTTTCCTACTAGGCATCCATGTAAGCCACAGAAGTTAACATCTAAGAGTGGGCCAGTCTCTCTTAAATGAAGGAATTAGTCATTTGTTTGAATAGCTTTTCCTCCAACTACTGGAAACAGTAATTAAACAAAGCCAAAGCAATTAAAAACGTTAATGTGTTTTTTAGCATTTGACATTTTAACCACCAACAAAAAACCAGTGACTTTGTGTAAACATTACTGATACAAATTTAAAATTCATTTATTTAACAAGATCAGTTTGCTCAAAATAGATCATATGTACCTTAAGCAAGGTACTGCAACTTACTGTCCTTCGGAATTGTAAAAATTTCATTTAGCAATTGAGAGTAGAAGTTCAAGTTCCAAATAATCATGGCTTAATCCTGAAATAATAAAAGTAGATGCTATTCTTCCAGAAATTTTCACTTATCAAATGGTCATTGGGATGAACGTAATGGTGAACTTTCACAGACATTTTCTAGGATGCTGAAGCCCTATGGATGCATCTATGGATGCATGTGTTTTAAACTTGCCCTACACCAGAGGTAATAGGAAGTATTTCATTTACATATAACAAGCCCCTAAGATTTCAGACTCACAGCAGTAAATTCTGCATGAAGTAGTTAGAACTTCTGCACAGGCATATGCTAATCCTGTTGCCATTCAATACCTAAATCATATTCACTGCTTCTCTTTAAAAGGCATTTGACTATACCCCAACCACTCAACCTCAGCTCACTTGAAATACTTTTTTAAAAAGACTAAATTAGAGAAAGACACAAGTTTAATGCTTGATCCATCAAATACCCAAGACAGGCAGTCCTTCAGCAAAACAAACCAAACCATGAATCTTTCTGCACATCATCAGCAAAATACCTGAAATACAGCAGGGAAGTAAGCAGAAACATCAGGCTCCAAACCTCTTCTATAAAAAACTCTCCATGAAAGGAAATTCCATTTCTAACACTGTTAATATCACTTGTTCTATTGTGCAGGTATCACTCTAGCTATGTTTTCCTTACGTCCCACCTAAAACTTCCTACTCTGTCTTGCCATACTTTCTGTGAACAGGCAAAAAAGTATCTTTATCAACAGAACCTCTGCAGAACTGTAACATTTGTCCCTTACTTTCATTGCTAAACACACTTCTGTTTTAACCTTTGCTCAGAATTGTATTTTCTATAACCATTGCACCGTTACTGCAACCTTCTGCAATCCTTCCAGTCCATCTACATCATTTTTAAAGTTCATCATGCAAAACTGAGGACGCTTCTCCAAACAGCAGCCTCAGCATACCCAAACCAGTAGAAAAACAGCCTGTCTCTGATACTCACCACTCCTGGTAACATATCAAGGATCACAGTGGTAAGATGCGTTTATTCTATCATCATTTATGCATCACTCTATCACCCTCATCTGACTATCTAACACAATCACTCCCCCATCCTCTATTTGTACTTTTAATTTCTGTGCTATCACACTAAGTTTCATCCCATCAGTTTTAGACCATCTGGAATTCCAATTCTGTCACTCAGTATTCTTCTACCTAGTCTAGCATGCTTTGTCTACCTTTTTAAAGCCTATTACTTCATACAGATATTAATTATTGAGCAACAAGTACTCTACCAAACATGAATGTCCACCTATTTTTTTCTTCTTGTTTCATTTGCATTTCACTGGAAATTATAAAAACACCACACCCTTCTCTTTCCAAATGCCCTAGAGTAGGCAGCCACTTGTGTGTGATTAACCTCCTTTTCTTTAGAGCTGTGGAAGTCTTTCCCTTTCTCTGTCAAGAATTCCTACAACAGCCAAAGCAACATCAACAACATCACAGGAATATATATCTATATGTGGCTTTGCGTCATGGATTAAAGCTTTTCAATATTGTTGTGCAGAAGACAGGGAACCTGCATCAGTTTCGGGTGAATTAAATGAAATGTTTAAATATTTAAGACTAACATTATCTTTTTGCTACTAAAAATAAAACAGCAAGAATCTTAGGTTTTTATCTGAATCAGCAGATACTGAGATAGATTTCTCAGCCTAGGCAGCAAAATATGAGGATTACCTGCAGAGCTAAAACGTATGAATGTGATTAGCTACCCAATATATCCCCTGTGGCCAGGGAGAGTCTCAGCAAGCAATTTTGTTCAACTGAGAAATAAACTGAGTGAAATAAGCTAAAGTGTGAAAGGGTAGCTAAGAGTAAAGTGAAATAAGCTAAGAGTGGAAGGGTAGCTGACACTACCCTTACTGCTGTTTATTCAGCACCACATTCAGGATCTCCAAACTGCTCTCTCACTCAGGGTTCCCACTCTCACACCTCTTGGCTGGAATAAGAGCATCTCATCCAGGACTCAATTCTGCCTAATGCAGGGCTTGCATTTCTAATTCCTCCTGGCAGTTATCTCCAGACTGCTTCTCCTTACCAACTAGGTAGACTAAGGAGTACCACCTTTTGGTCTTCTACTATTTCTCCTGGCTGACTGTCTTCATAATCCAGAAAGCTTTTCCAAGAGAGGAAACCAATTCCTAGCTCATTTCTCAGGAGAAGCCAAATCCCATAGAGATAGGCCTGCAGATGCAATTACTTAGTAGCAAGTAACCTAAATGAGCTCTTCAGCTCACATCAACCCCTCCTTCTACCAATGTGGGACTATGTTTCATGTTACTGCAAACTGCTTTAGGACTGTGCAATGAAGAATATCAGTCTGAAAGTTAAACAGTTAAAAATACACACCAGGTCAGGTTTGGTTTTTTATTAAATCTTTATACAGTGCCAACACCCTCTGCAACACACAAAAAAAAAGAGTGGGTTCATCAGATGAATGGAGCAGCTTTCCCTCTAAACTAGTGGCTCAGGAGACCACGCTGTTCCATTTTAAACTCACTTTATATTTTTGTAGGGGATTTTGGTCATTGCAACTGCTAGAATTTTAATCAGGGTCTTAATAGTTTTGAAGAAATAGGTACCCTTTTCCATATGCTATCCATAAATGTAAGCCTGAATTCTGGAGCCCTGCTTTGCAGCAGTGGGTGAATTCCACAGCTGTGGGATCATGGAATACAAGGGGCCTAATTATACAAGGCAAGAATCAGTTCTGGTAGATGATTAAAAGCTAAAACAAAGCTGAGGAGTTTAAGAACCACAAAAGCTAGTTCTTGCCTGTCAACTCCAATAGAACAAACGTTATTTCTGTGTTGAAATCTTGAAAGAAAATTCAAACCAACCACAACATAATGAAAGATAGGAAAAAAAAAAGGGGGGGGAGTTTCATGCCTCATCAGAATTTTTTGCTGCAAGGGAAGTTTGCAAGTTCCTCAGTGTTGCTTTTTAGGCTCCCCATTTATAAGACTCTCTGGGTACTTATGTCTCAAAGTGTTAAAGCCACACATATAAAAGCTGATTATCTATAGTCTTCTCTATGTGGGTGTACTAGACTAAGAAACCAAACCAAGATCACCTCTTCCAAGTCTGAGGCCAACAACAGTGGCAGGCACTGTGCCACACAACCTCCACAGAGCACAATTCTTTACAAAAGCTTGTGTGGACAAGGCCTTGCAGAGGCCTCTTCTCCCTTTGGCATCAACCTCTTGGGCAGCACAGTGCTTTAGCTTTGCCTCTGTTCCAGCAGGTGCTGCTGGACCCTTCAGCCAAACTAGCACCCACAAAGGTCTAGAACAACTTCCCAGCTCTGCCACAGATGTCTAAGACCTTGGGCATGTTATTTAAATCCTGACCCAACAAAATACTTCAGCACCAATGCACCATACTCATTGCTACAGACTCTGCCACACACAAGATCTGCTCTAACTGCCTTCCCAGATGAAACAACTTCTGTGTCCTCAGTCTGTAAGACAGACACAGAAAATGGTAACATAGACATCTTTGAACTTTCCAAATCAGCTGTCATCTTTGACACTGTATGTATAGTGTCCGTGTCCAGAAAAAAAACAGAGCATTTGCTTGCAGTTTCTTAGTAACGCAACCAACCAACAGTATTATCAGCAGCCATTTCTATGCCATGTAAAAAAGAATGGATTTAACTTTCTTGGCTGTAACTCACTGAAATCACAATATACAAGCTATGTGCTAAAATTAAAAGCTTTCATTAGCAGTTACTAAACGTCCTAAACTCCAAAAATGCAAATTAACCTCATGTTGATGACAGCTACATACTTAGTGATATGTCCCCATAAATACTACTGTAAGGGATAAAAAGAGAAAAAGAGTGACTTCACATTCAAAAAAGATTAAGCAAGAGCACCCTTATACTAAGGTGAATTATTTCTTAACACATTTTTCAATTGTGTAACAATCCCTGTGCATGTGGATCCTGTTTAGAGTAAAAATTGAACTTTTAAATAGGTTTTCAGTTTCTGGCTCCCTTAAGAAAAAAATATAATTCACTGCTGAAAGAATACAAGCAATACATTTATGGGCACATTCAAATATATATTAGGAGGTGGTTAACATGTATCAAATTGCTTTCCAGTAATAACCACACACACAAAAAAAAAGGAGAACAAGTGGAATTATCTACTCCATGCTATGGTTTAAAAATTTTAACCAAAAACTCAAACAAGCACTAACATCATATTTCCCAGGCTAAGCAGGAACTGCTGTTCTTTCTTGTCTGTAGCTTCATATATATGTTGCTCCCATTTTTATGTATTAAAAAGTTCATGAGCCTTGTGCACACAGTAAGTAAAGACAAACAGGTATCTATTAAAAGAACTATTGTGCATTTGAAATTGTTTTGGGGATCATTTACCCTACAAAGTGAAAAAATGCCACAAAATCTTGTAAGACCGTTCTAAAAATCATTTTACATGCAGGTTTGCATGACCCCATAACCTTGGGTTACAAATGGTCTTATCAGTCTAGGTTCTGCAACTAGTCTCCTTCTACAACTATGAATTTTGATAGCATTGCTCAACTGAGAAAACTATGTTAAGTCTTCCAAACACCCTGGTTGTTCTTTCCAGGATCAGTGCCTACATTTGAGTACTGTATGAATTTATCCTGTAATTTTATTAAGTGAGCAGTCTCCATAATTAGCAGTTACAAACACCTGGTTGCATTTCAAATTTTAAAGAAGTCTGGGTTACCTACCACTTCACCAGAATGTGTCTTGAATGTCTTTGTATTCTTCCAGTAAATAAAAATGCACAACATTTACACCAAAATTACATGCGGGAAAGAGACATACTTAAGGCAGACAAACATTTGTACAGTATAGCTGGGAGAAGTTGCAGTCACAGCTTTGGCATGCTTTGCAAGGTTTCTTTCAAAGCCTCTGTTAAACGTATGTTGCTGCATTATAGTAAAAAGAGTAGTAAAGATAACTTACAGGAGGTCCAGTTTCCCCCTTTGGACCTCTGACACTTCCCATTTCAAACATTTTGTCAAGATCTTCATAGTCATAAGCATAATTATAAATACTAATTTCATAACTGTTTTCTGTATGGTAAGTCTTATCAGCATCAAATGCACCTTCCTGCCCTGTACTGAGTTGATTATCCAGAGAGAGGTCAGCAGGCAAACTGTACATGGTTGTGTTGAAGATTTGCTGCTTTCTGCTTTGTTCATCTAAATGCTGTTTTGCTTCGTCCATTCCGTTGCTTTTAGTTTTACTCTGTTTTACAGGGGATATCAGAGAAGGCTCACTTTGTCCACCTGCCTCTTCTGTGATATTGTCTAAATAATTTGGATATGATCCTGTGGGGGTTTTACTGATATTTCCTTTTTTGCTTGTCTCCTGCTGATGAGGAGGCAGACTGATGTTCTTCTGGAGTTCCATTTCAGGCCAAGCTTCCAGCAACAGAGATCTGGCCTCTGCAAACTCTGATGCAGAGACATTTCTTGACTCAAAGTGTTCTGGTAGAAAGTGAATCTGAGCAACATTGGTAAAAGGAATGGTTGATGCTTCTTTCCTTCTATAAGCTGATATACCTTCTGACTGGCTTTTCTCATCAATCATCATCTTTGAAAATATATCCAGCCCATCTGACACATGTGGAACTCCTAGTAGAGATCGATATGTTTCAGCCTGGCGACACTGCTGTTTCACATATTTACAATAGTTTGCAGAGGCTTCTGCAGAGGGAATAATATCTAGCTGACATATAACTCCTTCAAAGCTGACAGAGTGAGAGTTCATCCTTCCCAGGGTAAACAAACCATCCAAATCAAATGTCTCCACTTCAGAATGTACTTCCCTGCTATAGTACTTCTTTCCACACTCAGCAAATATTGAGACAGTCTTATCTCTAACGTCAATGGCAAATGAATGCCATTGTTCATTGTGAACACTATAATCAAAGTATACAGAGTGCTTCCCTCCAGTGTACACCACTACTTTTCTCGGTAGCAGCTGGACACCAAACTGCAGTCTACTTTTGTTCCTAATACTGAAAAGGAAAGCATTATTGACTCTGTAAGAATACAACCCAACCAATATGGTGAACTGATGCCCTAGATTTGATGGTATGACTTGAATGATGGGGGACTCAATATGTGCATCACTAGTTAGTACAACTCCTGATACCGTTAGACGAACACCGTGAGGTAACAGAGATGATGTTGAGGGCACTGCCGTCTCCGAGGGCTGTTGAACATCTTTCACAAGGCCTAGTTGATGAAGAACATCTATTGCTGTAAAAAGAATTAAAGGCATACTGTTGATTTCATTTACAAGCTAATCAATTCAGATTCATATAGACAAATGTATGCACAGCATCTAACAAATCTGTACTTCCCAGAGCATACATACCGCACACACCAAGGCCACAAAACCCCTAGTGTAAGGCACACCAATCTTTCACATAAATCTAGAACAAAATTTCCATCTTAAAAAAAAAAAGAAAAACACACAGAAAGGCCCACATAATGGCAATTGAAGGTTAATTCATTTATGAAACCGAAAAATCCCCATTTGCTGTCTTCAACCTTTTCACAGCAGTCAATGAACACACTTTGCTAGCTCCTTATTTATCTGGCTAAGCCTGCCTACTATTTGAAGAAATATTTTTTTTAAACTTTAATTTTTTCTTCTGCAAAACCCTTCTGCAATAAAACCATGTTTTTTCTCTTTATCTGAAAAGTTTAAATGAAAGCATTTGAGGGGAGGGGTGCTTTATTTTTAAGAAGGGACAAGCTATTTATAACACAGTAACACCTCAGTAGAGCACCAAAAGATAGTCACTGGCTCAAAGCAAAATACAAATGTAAGCCTTGCCGATGAGCTACTTACTATGTGCTGCATAGGTAATTCAACTGGTACCTGGGAAGAATTGCTGTGCTTCCACCAGGGAGCTCTCTTCCTGCCAAGCAAGGCCCTATGCCATTACAGAGCTGGCTTCAAAGGGAATTGTTTTCCCAGTTGGATCACCCTTGATTGTATGTAAGTGTGCCAAAGTTAGTCAGACTAAAGGAAAACAAAGATCTTTCCAAGGGGAGATGCAACAGAGCACACCGCTGCTGCCACCTCCTTTTCCTCCACACAGCCATGGATGAGGGGAACTCTGCAGAAGCAGTGAGGAGCAAGGAATGAGAAATGTCAGGACCCAAGGGGCAGTGCTCCCATCTTCTGGCTCACCTGCCCTCCCAGAGAATGCAAACAAGGCTGCAGCTACCCAGACAAGGTACTGAATTAAGAGCGCACTCCATAGCAGAAGACAGCAGTGGACATTAAGTAGACAGAGAAACCAGCTGTCCTGCTGATTTATGTCCTATAGATTTGGCTTTGGCATATAGAAGTCTGGATAGGGAATTTTTCTACAGTGTGGAATGGGCAGTGGTGTTTTCACTGTTGGGTTCTCTAGTCTCTTATACACTGTGAGCTTTGTGCTTTAGCCCTTTCCTTAGCCTAGACCTTACAGTATCTCCGTCTTTTACCTGGCTAAATATCTTCACCTAATGGCTAGACACACAATTATCTAGCCTCCTGATAAACTGAAATCATATCTGACCTGGAATAAGAAATCAAAGCCACTTTCCTCCTAAAGTGTAAATCAATAGTCAAAGATGACGGAATTCATTTGGTATTGCCTAAATCAAATTTAGGCATGTCCGAGTTGGTGGACATAAACACCTTCTTCCTTCAGGATGAATATAAAGACACTGTTAGATCTGTTATGATGCAGCTGAATGAGAAATACTACAAAGGCTTGAATGGGAGCTAAACCGCATGTGCCCAGCAGTCTTCCTGCAGGGTCGCAAAGTAAGACAGCATTTAAGGCACCAATTGGTAAAACTGCTTGCCTGGGTGTTTGTGGAAGGTGCTACAGAAATACTGCAGAGACTGAGACAGAACGCAGTCATGGAAATAAGAGACACGAAGTTTGGGGGTTAAAACATATGACATGAGAAAAGGTTGAAGGAGCTACATTTACTCAGTCTGGAAATGGGAAGGTTTGGGAGAATCTAATTACAATTATCCATTCTCTGAACTGGGGTTATAGGGAAAACAGAGAGAAGCTGAGGAGTAACTGGCACAAGCTGCAACACAAGAAATTCCAGCTCCATACAAAGAAAAAGCATTCTCACCGCAAAAGTGGTTAAGTGCTTGACCGGGGGCCATCGACACTATGCAATCTCCATTTTTGGAGAATTTCAAAGCCCAATTGGACAGGACCCAACAACCTGAACTAACTTCAACGTTGACCCTGATCTCAGCAGGAGGTAGGACCAGATGTGTTCAAGGTCCCTCTAACCTAAATTTGCCCATTTTCTGCACAAGGGGAAACTGAACATCGTAGTTTTCAAACAGCATTGCACAGAAGCATACAATATCATCTTTTTCCCCTAACTGGAACAACTAACTGGACCTAAGCTTCAGTGAACTGCCTCATTTAAAAATTACTAGTAGCATCTAACAGTTGCACTGATCTAATGAGCCTGACTGGGAAGAGACTGGCACTTTCCATAGCATTTAGCTAAGGGTACTTTTACTATGTGTGTTGTGCTGCTATTAAGTAAATAAAGCTATTAAATGGCATAACAAAAATTTGGAGTAACCAAGAAAAGTTAAGGGTTCTCTGCTATATCAATAGAAAAAAAACCAAAAAATCAAGTGAAACAAATGGATGTTCACTCTATTAGTGGAAAAAAGCCTCCTTTCCCAGACTTCCCTTTCTCTGTTTACTGAATGTATTCATAGCAAACTTTAAGAACAGACAGATGTTGGCTTAGTTTCAGTGGTAAATTATGAAAACAGCCTGAGATTTCCTTGAGAGTGGTTTATAAACTGGAACCAAAAGCATCAACCTGAATGCACTGTACATCTTGAAAATTAATTACACACCTTATAGTGCTTCTAGTGTTTGAGATTTACGGACATGCCAAGATTACCCTGGCAGGTAGCCAGCACAGGCAGAGGTATGGAGAAAGCACACCTTTGCAGAAAGTCATGTGTATGCCAGTTTCCCAAGATGTTTCGCCTCAGAGCAATTAATTTATTATGGCTGTATTTTTATCTGTCAAACTGGTAACAGAGGTCAGGTTATAGTAGAGCTTCAAAGCACAATGCATCTGCTAATGAACCACCACACTTTCCCAGGACCCTGGTCCTGCATGGTCTGCATGTAGTTATGGAGGAGAAAGCTGTACTGGTATTGCCCTTTGAAAGTTAAGAAGAAACACAGGTCCTGAGCTCTGGGCAATTCAGAGGTCTTACACATGCAAATAATACCCCAAGGCTGGAGACACCACTCCAGCACTTCTGTGCACTGGCTGGGCCAGCTGACTTCACCGAGGCGAATAGCCAATAATCTAACCTAAGGTTGTGCCAAAATATCATAGAATCACAGAATTGTTAAGGTTGGAAGAGACCTCAAAGATCATCAAGTACAACTATCTACCCAACGCCACCATGCCCATTAAACTATGTCTTGAAGCACCACATCTAAATATATTTTGAGCACCTCCAGGGATGGCAAGTCCACCACCTCCCTGAGGAGCCTGTTCCAATGCTTAATGACTCTTACAGTGAAGAAATTCTTCCTAATATCCAACTGGAACCTCCCCTGGCGCAACTCGAGCCGTTTCCTCTTATCCTATCCTTAGTTACCAGGGAGAAGAGACCAACCCC